TCCCTAGGGAGCAGGAGCCTGGAACCAAAGTCCTCCCGGAGGAGGCTGCCTTCAGCTCCATCCTGGGCACTGAGGGCCATCACAGCGCCCCCGGAACCCGCAGAACCCACGGGCGGCGGGGAACCTTGCAATTTCTGGTACAGCCTCGGCCACAGGCCGCGTCAGATTATCAGGAGCCTGTCAGGAGCCTAGGGTCCCCATTCTCAGGATTGGGCTTGGGTCCCCTTCTGCCCATCCCAGGAACCCCGACACTCCAGGACCAGGATCACTGGAAACCGCTGTACAGAGGGGAGGTGGGGAATCTGTGAGGAAACAGGGCGGGGGGATCTGAGAAGGGACAGGGAAATCTGGTGGGACAGGGGATCTGTGAGGGGGTGAAGGAATCTGTGAAGGGATGGGGGATCCGTGAGGGGATGCGGGTATCTGTGAAGGGATGGGGAGGATCTGTGAGGGGCACAGGGAAATCTGTGGGGGGGGGATATGTGAGGGGATGGGGTCCGTGGGGGGATGGGGAATATCTGAGGGGATAGGGATCTGTGGAGGATGGGAGTTTGTGAGGGGATGGGAGATCTGTGGGAAGATGGGGGATCTGTGAGGGGCTGGGGATCTGAGGGGATGAGGGATCTGTGAGGGGATGGAGGATCTGTGAGGGGATGGAGGATCTGTGAGGGGATGGGGATCTGTGAAGAGATGGGGGGATCTGTGAGGAGATGGGGATCTGTGAGGGGATGGGGATCTGTGAGGGGATGGGGGGATCTGTGAGCGTGTGGGGCGATCTGTGAGGGCACTGGGGATCTGTGAGGGGACTGGGGTTCTGTGAGGGGATGGGGATCTGTAAGGGATGAGGGATCTGTGAGGGGATGGGGGGATCTGTGAAGGGATTGGGAATCTGTGAGGGGATGGGGATCTGTGAGGGGATGGGGGGATCTGTGAGGGGATGGGGATCTGTGAAGGGATGAGGGATCTGTGAGGGGATGGGGGGATCTGTGAAGGGATGGGGAATCTGTGAGGGGATGGGGATCTGTGAGGGGATGGGGGGATCTGTGAGGGGATGGGGATCTGTGAAGGAATAGGGGATCTGTGGGGATGGGGGGATCTGTGAGGGGATGGGGATCTGTGAAGGAATAGGGGATCTGTGGGGATGGGGGGATCTGTGAGGGGATGGGGATCTGTGAAGGGATGAGGGATCTGTGAGGGGATGGGGGGATCTGTGAAGGGATTGGGAATCTGTGAGGGGATGGGGATCTGTGAGGGGATGGGGGGATCTGTGAGGGGATGGGGATCTGTGAAGGAATAGGGGATCTGTGGGGATGGGGGGATCTGTGAGGGGATGGGGATCTGTGAAGGGATGAGGGATCTGTGAGGGGATGGGGGGATCTGTGAAGGGATTGGGAATCTGTGAGGGGATGGGGATCTGTGAGGGGATGGGGGGATCTGTGAGGGGATGGGGATCTGTGAAGGAATAGGGGATCTGTGGGGATGGGGGGATCTGTGAGGGGATGGGGATCTGTGAAGGAATAGGGGATCTGTGGGGATGGGGGCATCTGTGAGGGGATGGGGATCTGTGAGGGGATGGGGATCTGTGAGGGGATTGGGATCTGTGAAGGGATAGGGAATCTGTGGGGATGGGGGGATCTGTGAGGGGATGGGGATCTGTGAGGGGATGGGGATCTGTGAAGGGATAGGGGATCTGTGAGGGGATGGGGGGATCTGTGAGGGGATGGGGGATCTGTGAGGGGATGGGGGATCTGTGAGGGGATGGGGATCTGTGAGGGGATGGGGATCTGTGAAGGGATGGGGGATCTGTGAGGGGATGGGGATCTGTGGGAAGATGGGGGATCTTTGGGGGGCTGGGGGATCTGTGAGGGGCTGGGGATCTGAGGGGATGAGGGATCTGTGGTGGGATGGGGGATCTATGAGGGGATGGGGATCTGTGAGAGGGGATGGGGGATCTGTGAGGGGATGGGGATCTGTGAAGGGATGGGGGATCTATGAGGGGATGGGGATCTGTGAAGGGATGGGGGGATCTGTGAGGGGATGGGGATCTGTGAAGGGATGGGGGGATATGTGAGGGGAGCAGGGGTTCTGTGAGGGAATGGGGCTGTGTTTGTGGCTAGGGGAATTCTGTGAGCCCTACCACTTCAGTTCAAATCCCTGCTCTTTCTTCCTTCTGGACCTGGAGGCCGTGCCTTTCCTGGGGTCTGCATCTTGGCCCTTCCCGTGCCCGTTAACAGGGAGCATGCAGAGGCAAACCTCTCGGGGAATCTTGGCCCTTTGTTGATAGGTGCAGGCTGAGCACCTGCCCAGGACACAACCCAGGAAGAGCCTGGCTGGCCCTGCTGTCTGCAGGCACAAGGGGAGCTCCAGCCTGAATGCTGCTCTGGAGTCTGCGGCCCAGTTCACACCTGGGGCAGGGCAGAGTCAAGGTCCAGGAGACAGGAGGGCCCCTGGACACCCAGCCACAACACAGGTCCTGCCACTCCGTGTCCTGCAACCCTTCTGCTTGGGGCCCCCCAGGCATTCAGAGCATGCTTAGAAGCACAGCTCCCTCATCTTTAAAATAGGAGCCACGCCCTCAAGTTCCCATCCCAGAACCCTTGGAGAAACCCGTGGCTGAGTACAAAGCTCAAAAAACCCAAGGAGCCCCGGGGAGGATCATGGCTTCTTGTGCCTGGCCAGAGGGCAAAAACCAGGAGAGCCTCTCTGCAGAGCGGGGTCTCCGAGCCTGGCCCGGCCCAGCGACTGCTCTGTGTACAGGACCCAGGCAGAGACCCATACCTGCCTGGCCTTGGGCCTCAGACTCACCTGCCACTGGGAATCCCAAGACAGCTGTAGGAGCCCAGAGCTGGAGACCACCTGCAGCCTTGATCCTCCCAGCCAGGTCCAACCCCCTCCACAGCAAGGATGCAGAGGCCTGAGTGAAGAAAAGGAAACGTTCCCAAGCTAAAGGAGGAGCCCAGCAAAGGCTGGCCCCCAGCTCTCATGACACCTGGCAAGGGCACGGGGTGACCAGGTGCACTCGGCTGTCCAGGCAGGTGCAGGAACCTCGTTTCAACAGGCGGCACCATCAATGCTCAGCAATCCCTGCAGTCAAGGGCTTTGTCCTTCGCAATGCTGGGGCCTAGAAATACTACAGGCTGGAGTGAAGTCCCAGCAGGAGAAGGCAGCTGAGAAATCCCACACCAGGCATGTCAATGGCATGATATCCTCATCCTGCCTGAGCTGCAGCTCCATTTCACAGATGTGCACGCCAAGATGCGAACAGAGGCCCCTCGGTCAAGGTCACAGAGCTCACAAGACATGAAGAGCTAACCCTGGGCAGAAAGCCATCTTCCTGGGCCCCAATCCAGGTGAAGCCCAGGGCTAGGGGCCGGGAGGAGGCCCAGGCAGGAGCAGAAATGCTGGGAATGCAGGGCAGAGCCGAAACAAAGGCTGCAGGCCCACGTGGGTGGATCCTGGCTCAGATAGAATCCAGACTCAGACTACAGCCTCCGCAGAGCTGCAGCCTTTCCCAGCTGGAGTGGCCTCCATCCTACCTGCCCCTCCCCAGGGCTCTCCCCATGCGGGGGCAGGAGGGGCTGGCACCAGGGCCCTCACCTGCATGAATGAACCAAAGAGGGAGGAAAGGAGGGAAGGAGAGAGGGAGAGAAGGAGAAAGGAGGGAGAAAAGGAAGGAGGCCTGAGTTCCCACCTCCACTGCTACGTTTGCACCCCTGGACTTGAGACCTTTGAAATTCTTACACAATTCTCGCTTCCCCAACAGCACACCTGGCTTTTCTGCCCCATCACTTTAATGGACACAGCATTACACCAGACAACTTTACACAGAAAGGAAAAACAGAGCATTGTCACCAGCATCTCACGGAAACAAATACATGTTATATTGTCACAGGTCACGTCCAAAGCACATTCCTGGGCAAGGCACTGTAAGGCACTGTGACCAGTGTGGGGCTGGACAGGCGTCCAAGGAACGGAAACCAGGGTGCGACTGTCTGGCCCTGAGCTTCCCCTCCAACCTCCAGGCTGCCCTGATGAGGATGAAAACAGCACCATGAAGATGAGCTGTTGAAGACAATCCTTTGTAAGAACTTTCCATCAGCACATGAACAACACACACTGGCCGCTGGTCCACAGATGGTCCTCAGAGAATGTGGGGTCAAGAATGAAAGCGACCTCGATGGTCTGTCTCACGGGCCTGGAGGCGGTGGAGGGGGCAGCCCGGGCAGGGTATGGTGAGCACTGCACATGGACACACAAGGTCAGGTGGGTTCACTTCTTGGTCTTCTGGCTGCCCTGACGCTGTGGACTGGACTCATCTGCTCCGGGGAGTGGAGCCTGCAGGATGCACTCGGCCTAACCCCCACTAGGTGCTTAAGTCGGAGGCAGGTAGGCATCCCACAGGGGCCTACCATGGAGGTAGGTCCAGGGACCCTGCCCAGAATGCGCTGACCTCCATTTCCACCCAACACAGAACCGTGTGACCTGGCAACCGGGGTCTAGACTCGGTGCTAGAAAACTGTACCACAAAACGCTTCTCATGTGCATGGGTTTTGTTGGTGGTATTTTTAATTTTGGATCAACAAAAAAAGAACATAGCAGGTTCTCAGGTATATAAAACAGGTAATATTAGGTAAACATATAAACTTCACCTTTACAAAAAAAAAAACCACACACACATTTCTGTTAATACACGCAAAGCACAATATATTACCAAAAATAAAGAATTTGGTTCTGTCCAAACACTGGCAGCAGAGGCAGTGACTGCCACCATGGCACCAGGGCACATCGACAACAGAGAAGCGGCAATGCATCGCACGTGCCGAGTGGGAACACAGCATTCTAGGTGAGCGCTGCGGGGAACAAGGTGTCACTCAGCCACAAACAGGGGCTTTAGGGCAGGTACTGCAGGCACAGCATACGATTGGTTGACGCATAGTTCTTTCCAAATGGCTTAAATTAAAAATAAAGCAGGGTAAGGGAGAAACACAAAGCCAGAAACATTTAGGAAATGATGCATAGGTAGGTATACCATGTTTATTTTAATACATCTCATTAGTTTGCATCTTGCTAGGAAAAATACCGTCGCACTGTCCTGACAGTTACAGCAGCCTGTGTGTTATCGGTGTAAATGTCATCCAAGAGATTAAAAAAAAAAAAAGCTAGGCAAAGAGTAAAAAGGAAAGCTTAATAATCACTTTATGGTGTAAAAAAAAAATCCACTTAAGGCTCTCAGGAAGGTTTCTGTATGGGCTTAAATACTACAGCGAAGAGGTGTGGTTTCTAAAGTTCGCGTGGCGGTTTCCAAGACATTCCTGCTTTCTGTGTGCCCCTGCAGAGCCCGCCAGCATCCCTCTGGAGTCATTCCCGAAGCAGGCTCTGCATCCTCGGCAGAAAAGCACCTGTGACCACCCGGACAGAAATCCAGTCTGCTGAGACCTCTGCACTTCCATCCTGCGGGAGCGACCCTCCATCCTGTCGAGTTTAGATATTTTTGTGAGTCCGTTTTGTTTTTGTCATGTTTTCTGGTTTTGTTTTTTTTCTCTCTCTCTCTCTCTTTGACAAGGAAGCTTCTTACTGCTTCGCCGAGTGCTACAATACTTGCTTTGATGTCACATTAAACAAATGTGCGCTGTCTCTTTGTTCTCCAGAGTGTTCTCGGACACAGTTTTTCACGGAGGAGAACAAAGACTGCACACTGGCAATAAAGCACCGTACATAGTAGGTTCAGGAATGTAACACGCCATGTACATCCATGTCCCAGGAAAGGGCCGTGGCTCATCCTCACCTCACATCTGCAGGAAGATGGGAGAGATAGACACTGAGACCACCGATCAAGTGAACCACGCAGCACACACATGGCTGTGTAGGAGGCAAATAGGGTGAAAACATTTAACCCAATCGGGGCACACAGGGATTTCAAGTTTTCATGAAATTTCCAGAATCACAGTTGCCAACATTAGCCATGTTGCAGTACCCTGGCCGCAACTGGGATTAGGCTCACAGCATCTCACAGAGGAACACGTCTAGAGACCAAGCCCCATTCTCCCATTGTACAGATGGGGAAAACTGAGGCCAAGAATGGTTAATTTGCCCTTCTCCCTTTCTTTCTTACAGCCTAGGGCCTAGATGTGATTTCTGGAGCTCCAGCAGCCGCCTTGGGCCACCAGACAACCCTGGAGGTTCTTCTGGAGGCCACCAGCCAGACAGAAGAGTCAGCAAACTAGGCAGACCTATGCTGATTCTTTAAGAACTCTTCCCCATCCTATGTGGCCTCTCCATTGCACACTCCAACACGTGGGCTGCCTACAGCCTGAGCATAAGTACCAGCCAGGCATGATTAAACAGGAGTACCAGCCTCTCACCATGGGGTCTGTCACCAGCAGGCCCATGGAGGCCAGAGCCTAATGCTCTGGAGAAACAGGATGTGCAGGCAGGCAAAAAACCACTCTCTTGCGACGCACTTTGGGCAAACAAAATCAAGGCTGACCAGCCGTCCTGGACTGCTTCAAAGACCCACTCAAGTGGACAGCTTTCTCCCAAGAGGCTCCTCATGAATGGACCTCACCCACAGGACCAAGTCCCACATTGCAAACAGGAGCCAGGGTTCTCAGACACCCTCTCTCTGAGAACCTCCTCTCTTCTAAAGAAACTATTTGTTTTGGCCGCCATGGAGTCCCACGTGCTGGGAGGAGGAACCAGGCCAGACAGGGCTCCAACTTTCCCAAGCCAGGCGGGCCAATGCCAAGGACCAGGAAGGCTTGAAACTGCCTCCTCCATGATGATGGTAGCTGCCTAGGTCCCATTTCCACCTGGGAAGCAACGTGTCTCAATAGGAGACTGTTTCCCAAGCTCCCATGCAGTAGAGGGATGGCAGCCCAGAAAAACACAAAAGTTACCAGGAGGGATTGCAGGATAGCTCTCTAAGGTGTTATTTTGCCCTTTTGCCCCCTTACTCCTTCCTCCGTCCTCGAGCACAGATGTGATTTCTGGAGCTTTAGCAGCCACCTTGGGCCACGAGGCAACTGAGGATGGATGCCATCAGCCAGACAGAAGAGGTACCCTGATGGTACCTCAGGACTACCCTCCCTGCTCTACAATCCCACCTTTAAATGAGTGTCATGAAGCTCAACCTTATCTCGATCCCTGTGCAATCTGGTGTTACTAGCAGCCAAATGCAATTTCCGACACAGTAGCCAACAGTCCTGCATGTTTATAAAGGATTTCCAGATCTATTCAGCCTCCAGCAGTCCTTGTCTGTAATCTCAGTTAAGCCTCAGTTTTTTCATCTGTCAAATGGGGTGGGTGATCCCAGAGTGGCCAGGTGGTCAGAGCTGTCCCACCACTGCTCAGATTGCCCAACATGTTCCATTCGTGTATCCAATGCTCCTGCACCCCCGATCAATGACAGAGAAGACAGAGCTAGAGGCAGGCTCCCGAGCAGGACTGAGCCGAGGGCCAGGGCGTTCTGTGAGGCAGGAACAGATGGGGAGCGAGGAGACCCAAGCCCAGCCGACACCATCAAGGCCAATCAGGGCACGTCCCCGCCGCACCCGGCGAGACAGGAAGCGTGATTTGCTGATGTGATCAGTTGGTCGCACCTCCCCGCCCTGCAGGACTCAGCATGTCTGGCAGACAGCTCCTACCTGGTTGGCTGCTTTAGGTGGGTTTTAACCTTTTTCTTTTCCGCTTTTTACCTGACTCCCTAGGCCTTCCTGTTAACAAAAGGGCAGGGCGGTGAGTGGACTGAGGGATGGCCATCAGGGTGAAGAACCGAAGCAACACATAACCTAAGGCTTTATCTTTCCAGAAGAAAACACCAGCACCCAGGTGTGGAGAAACTTCTGAGTCCCCTTGTGCTCCCGGGACTCCAACACAGCAGGGCACAGAGGCCACTCTGCTCCTAGGCAGAGTCCACCCGTCAGGGTGAAAGAGACCCCGGCCAGCCAGCACATCTGCAGTCCTCAAAGCTGTTCCTCCTGCCCACCCCGGCAGGGGCCCTTCTGCAGACTCTTCTCAGTTCATTCCTGCAGCCCACCAATGAGTCGGGCATCTCATGCACTCCCAGCCCCACTCAGTGAGGCCTGAACCTCCTCTCCCACCAATGCTGTGGCTTGAACTACCCTCCCCACCAGACACCTGCAGGCAGGGAATCTGCCTCCCCAGCAGGCATCTGGCCTGGGAGCCGGCCAACGATCCCTCAACAGCAGCCCAGATGCTCACAGTAGCGAGCATCATGCTCCAGGGGCCACCTAACATCCCAAAAGCAAGGTTCCAAGGACCCGTTCTCTAACATAGATGCCAATGAAGGCAGCCACTCACCTGTGTCCTCTTCCCGATAATCCGGATTCAGGCTGGTGGTTGCACAGGCGCACTCCAAATGCTCCTCTAACCTCACCTGGACTTCTTTTAATTTTGGCTTCTTCCTGATGTATTCCACCTTGGCCACCTGCCCGAGAAAACAGAGCCCGGCCATGAACGCCTGTGTGGAGCTTCAGATGACATGACACGCTGGGAGCCAGGGAGAGGCCAGCAGGGAGGAGAGAGCAGCCTGACCCCTGACTTCTGACCTCCTCCCAGGAATGCTACCTTATCATGGGGCATGCAAGAGCAGCAGGTGAGAAAATTACAGGCTGCAGTGCAAGAGCGTGTGTGTGTGTGTGTGTGTGTGTGTGTGTTTTAGTTTTTTTGAGTAGGCTCTCACTCTGTGACCCAGACCAATCATAGTTCTCTGCAGCCTCGAATTCTTGGGCTCAAGTGATCCTTCCACCTCAGCCTCCTACCTGTATTAGCCACCATGCCCAGCTAATTGTAAATATTTTTTTGGTAGAGATGGGATCTCATTTATGTTGCCCAGGTTGGTCTTGAACTTCTGGACTCAAGTGATCCTCCTGCCTCAGCCTCCCGAAGTGCTGAAATTTCAAGCAAGAGCCGCCATGCCTGGCATTGGAGCATGATATTTTGTAGCTTTGTCCTATTTTTGTTTAAAATAAACCCAAAGGTTCACATATGCCTGGGGGTCTAAAGGACACACACAGCCAAGGTATGGAAGTTTGGGAGTTCTGGGACGCAAGTGGCCAGGGAAAGTGTTTGCTTGTATGTGGATGTGCAGTTGAGAAATGTTTTCAAATGCTTACTTTGTTATTAAACAAAATTTAAAAGCCAGGCCGGGCATGGTGGCTCATGCCTATAATCTCAGCACTTTGGAAGGCCAGGGTGGGAGGATCACTTAACTCCAGGAGTTCGAGACCAGCCTGGGCAAAACCCTGTCTCTAAAAACAATTTAAAAATTAGTGAGCCATGGCGGCACCTATAGTCCCAGCCTACTCGGGAGGCTGAGGTGGGAGGATTGCTTGAGCCCAGGAGTTTGAGGCTGCAGAGCTGTGATCACACCACTGCACTACAGCCTGGGTGACACAGCAAGAACCTGTCTCTATTAACGGGAAAAAAAAAAATGTTGAAGCCATGGCCCAGCAATGGGGTTTGCAGCTGTATCCTAGCTTGAGGCTGCTGTGGACTTGAGAGTCCAGTTGATAATCCCAGCTGCTGGCCTGATAAGGGCCCCATCTTTCCACCAGCCCCCAGGCAGCATGGCTAGCAGACCCACACCCAGGGTCCCCTCATGGTTCCCCCAGGTCTGAGGCTCTCCTTGGGCTCAGAGAGGCCTGATCTGGGAAACCTGGGCCAGGGACTCTGGGCTGTCACCAAGGCTGCGTAAGGCTACCCAGGAGCAGCACAGGCTGGCTGGCCATGGCTGCCAGGCATAGAGAACTCAAAACTCGAACCAAACCTCAGCTGGGCGCTCCTCTTCCGACTGGACTCTGCCTGTCTGCCAGCCATACCGGCCCTCAATTCTCCAGGAATAGAACCACAACGTGGGGGTCCTGACTCCACAGCCCCTTCCTGAGGAGCCGCAGGCAGACAATGGCCCAGTCCAGTGTCCAGAGAGGGGAACTTCAGACATTCAAGAAGGGTGGCGAGAAATCACTCACACACATACACACGTATAATGCACTCGCAGGCCCTGTCATGGGAATGCAACTCCACCCCCCACACACGTATACACATGTATAATGCACACACAGGCCCCCTCACGGGAATGCATCTCCACCCCACACACACAAATACACACGTATAATGCACACACAGGCCCTGTCATGGGAATGCAACTCCGCCCCCCACACATGTATACACATGTATAATGCACACACAGGCCCCGTCACGGGAAGGCAACTCCACCCCACACACATTCATGCATGCATAATGTACACATGTGCCCCATCATGGGACTCCTACTACACACACACAGTGTGCACGCACACACACTCCTGGCATCAGCAGGCCCCTAATGCATGGCCAGGAACTGCAAGGGTAGAGTATCGGCTCTCCCAGCCCAAACCCCAGCATTTATTCAATCCCCCCAACCACCCGATAAGGAGGCAGGACTGGTACCTCCCTTTACAGAAAAAGAAACTGAGACACAGGCAAGCCCTAAGCCTGTACCTAACTGCCAGGTTGTCCCGCCTGCCCCCTGGTGCACATGCCAGGGAACAGCCACCACCTTCCTGCCCTCCCAGGCCCTGGGGAACCAGGTACCTAGCAGGTGCTCCATCTGTGCCCATGCAGGGTCTAAGTCCAAGATCAGCCCCTACAGATCACCCACTTCACCCCTCACTGTTCATTGGGAAACCGAGGCTAGAAAGGAAACAGAGGCTGGGTCACCCCCTTAGCACAGGGAGGTGTGGGAATGCACGTCGCCAGGTGAATGAGGAGATCCCAGCCAGAGGCCAGACACCCCCAGCCTAGTGGCGTGGCGCTGCTTCCCAGGCTGTCGGGAGAAGGAGAATGTTTCCCAACCTTCTTTGGAGGGAAGGGGCTCTGGAGACTGGGCCTCATTAGCAGGATCCCCCATGAGAAGGTCAGCTCTGCACTCTGGGACCAGGCAGGCTCCGAAAGTAAGCCAGCCCCTAAGGCACTGGGGACCAGGCCTGTCAGAGGCTGAGTTACTGAGTTAATGGTTAACCCACAGTGCAAAGGGTGCCTGCAGGCGTGTGAAGTGGTCTGGACTGCCTGGGCGTGAGCAGACAGCCAAGTATGAGCTCAACAGGTGCAGGGCGTGGGGCACCTGGGGTCGAGCCAGCTCAGAAAGACGACCTAGCCTGGGAGGTTTCACTGCGTCACAAAGCGTGAGAGAAAGCGGCTGGGGCACCGCTCCTTCCTGGATGGGGCTGTTCCAATCGGGAGGCCTTGGACCAGTCCACCAACTCCCTCAGCAATCTGTCCCTTTCCCCAGGACAGAATCCTCCAGAGAAAGAACTCTGTAGGCCGTGCAGACACCTCCACCTCCCATCTGTAAAAGGGAAACCGATCACACCCACCCAGGGATTGTGGCAAGGAACAAATGAGGCTACACACGAAGAAGCCCCCAGAACCTAGAACAGAGCCAGCCTTCAGGAGTGGGCTGCCACCCAGCATCTATTCTAACACAGAGCCCCGAATCCAAGGCCGCTCCCTGTCTCCAGAGCCAGCCAGAGGCTATGCCTGCAGGCCCAGGGCCCCTGTCCCCTGGCTCAGCACAGTACCACCCCCCACCTGGAGTCACAGCCATGAAGCTCCACCTTCGCTCTGCACATGGCCTCAAGCCTCAGCTCTGTCCAGGCCAGACCCCTGCCATCCTCAGCTGGCATCTCATCCCCATGGTCCACATCCATGCCCATGCTCCTGTCCTACCGCCCAGGCTTAGGTCTGGAGAAGACTCAGGTGTCCAGGGACCAAGTGCTGACCACTACAGGCAGAGAGTGGGTCTAGTCACCCTCCCACTAAGGGCCTGGGTTAGGAGAGGCCCAGCCTGAGGATGAACTTCGGCAAAGTCCCAGGAGGAGCAGCAGGGCCACCCTGGACCTCAGACACCCCCAGCCCTCCTCTGCCCTCTCTGAGGCAAGAACTGCTTAGGTAGGAAGGAACTAGCAATTCCAGTGTACAAAACCAGGCCCAGCCTCCCCTGCCTCTGCAGGGGCCGAGTACCTTCCTCCCCTCCCCTGGAGGCCCTGGACACAGGTCCCAGCAGGTGGAACAGCACCACCAGCCTCACATTCTGCCATCTCCCCAGCTCAAAGCACCCACACTCTGCTGCTCCTGCCCACCCCGATCTCTGCAGGGGCTGCCAGGTGAGGCATGGGGCAGGTGGGCTCTGAGATCTGGGCTCGTGGGGATGGGCTTGGGCACGGCACCATGTTCTGCTACCAACCCTGACCCTCCAGGTGGCACAGCCTCTTTGGTCAACAAGCGGCCTCACCTAATTCCCTCGGCAGGGCAGATACTGGGGCCCATCTTGGCAGGGACGGCCCCTCTGGCCAGACACCAGATGCCCAAGCGAGGGGCAGGCTCGCTCTTGTCCACTTGAGATGGACGGCTGGCGAGGGTGCATGGGCTCCCAGGACACAGCAGAAACACTGCCCTTCTGGGCACTGTGTGAAGCGCACACGGCACAGCCGGTCATCTGGGAACCTACTGTCTCCTCAGACAAGCCTGTTTTTATCAAACAAAAACAAACAGCGGTTTATGATTGCACCTGTTTCTCAGTATGCCAGGATTCCAGCCCGTTCCGCCACCTCTGTCTGGCCAGGAAATAGCTACATTTTTCTCCCAAGAACACATCATGAATATTGGAGTCTCACAAAAACCTCCTCCATAAATGAAGGTCAAGTCCAAAGAACAGAGATTATGTCCTCAGGACCCCCGGGGGGTTGCCCTGACCCCCAGACCCTAAGCTGGAGCCCAAGTCGTGAGGGGTCCCCATGGCCCTCCCCCTTTTTCCATCCCAGAGATGTGTGCTGTACCTTATCACAGCAGACATTCCGATCCCCGAGGCTGAGTTCTTCTGGGACATAAGCCACCCACCTCAACACTCCTGGGACGATAACCCAGAGATGCCGTCATCCCTCTAGACCTGGGAGGTTGAGACCCCCTGAGGAGGGCTTGGGACGGCCACTCCCTGAGGGGGAACTCCCCAACTCCAGGTTACAGCCTGACCCTTCCAAAGCTCCAAGACAAAGTATTAGCCATGAAAGAAATCTGACTGACCGCACGTCACTGTAACCCTCACAACTACCCAGTGAGGACATCATAATGGTCCATTTTAGAGATGAGAACACACAGCAGAGACACGGTAGGCCCCTTGCCAATGGTCACACAGCGTTGAATCTCCATCCCTAGCCTGGGCTGCCTCTCATCTCTTTCATGGAAAGGAAGCCTAGACTCCAAAAGAGCAGGGCCCTGGCCCCACGGCCGCAGCCCGGGTCTCTGGACAGAGAATCAGAATGTCACTTAATGTGGATGCTGACTTGGGTCAAGAAAATCCCGGCCGGGTGTGGTGGCTCACGCCTGTAACCCTGGCACTTTGGGAGGCCAAGGCGGGCAGACCACCTGAGGTCAGGAGTTCGAGACCAGCCTGGCCAACACAATGAAACCTGGTCCCTATTAAAAAATACAAAAAACAGCCAGGCGTGGTGGTGTGCGCCTATAATCCCAGCTACTCAGGAGGCTGAGGCAGGACAATCACTTGAACCCGGGAGGCAGAGGTTGCAGAGAGCCCAGAGTGAGCTACTGCACTCCAGCCTGAGTGACAGAGAGAGATTCTGTCTCAAAAAAAAAAAAAGAAGAAGATCCTACCTCCTTCCACACCACCCCCACATCCGCTAAGACGGAAGCAATGCCCAGGCATCAAGCTCAGGTAAGAGGCCCCTGCCCAGGCTGGCTCAAGGGTACTCCCACTCTGCCCACATAGAGACTACTACACCAGACCCCAGAGAGTGAACAGAGACGTGGCTGGGAGCGTCTCACCCCGAATATCCCAACTGCTCTGTTCCAGGGCGCAGAGGCCCATCCCACACACCAGGTGAGCACACTTCTGCTGGAAGCCTCCGGCCCAGCAAGGTGGGCTCAGAGCCATCTCCATCCCTGACACCACAGCAGCTCCAGGGCAGGCAGGTCATGAGTCACAGTGGACACCCCTGGAGTCACAGCCATGAAGCTCTGCCTTCGCTCCGCACATGGCCTCAAGCCTCAGCTCCATCCAGGCCAGACCCCTGCCATCCTCAGCTGGTATCTCATCCCCATGGTCCACATCCAGGCCCATACTCCTGTCCTACCCCCAAGGCTTGGGTCTGGAGAAGAGTAAGGTGTCCAGGGACCAAGCGCTGACCACATCAGGCAGAGTGTGAAGAGACACCCACCCAGGTGGGAACCCCGGCCCTATCTCCCCCAGGCTGCCAGTCAGTTTCATCCTGGTGATCCCAGCAGGGCCTGTGCTGGGCAGTGACCACTCCTGGCTTCACTACTGTCTTCTAACAAGAGACCTCAGAATGTTGACCAGAAGGGCATAAAACTGAAAGCAGGAGGTGCCACACCCAGCCTTGGTGGACAGACTGCGGGAGCCCCTCCTGGCCAGCCCCAACTCTGATGACCTCAGCTGACACCACGCACACACACGGGTGCCAAGTCCCAGCCCCTGGGGCCCATCTCCTTCTCGCCAGGTTGACAGCTACCCCCATCCCCAATGCGGCAGGACCAGCCTCCTGGCTCAGCCTCCACAATGGACCTCATGTTCCCTCTGACCTTTGTCCCCTCAGCCAGAGCCCCTGCCGTGTCTGAAGCTGGATGTTTTCCTTCAACCCTCGGATGGGTGAGCAGGGAAAAGATGCCTCCCAGAAGGGGGAATGTTGGAGGGAATGGGTCTGAGGAGGTGGAAACCAGGCCACCCAGCTCTGCTGCAGGACCCAGCCCTGAGGCCTTAGGACACCCTGTTCCCTCTTGGGCTGACCAGGACCCTGTCCTGGCAGATGAGACCCAGAGGCAGAGCCCTGGTCGCAGCTCCACCATCGCACAGAGCAAAGCAAGAGCCACTGCTGAGCCAGGGGTGGGAGGGGGGAATCTGGCTCTCACCCCTGATGCCGCACTGGCTGGAGGGTGCTGGAGAGCTCTTCACCCCGCCCAGTCTGCTCAGGGGGCCGGGGGAGGGAGGCAGCATTGCCCAGAGGGGCCAGGAACACCTATCCTCACCACACAACAGGCAAGGTGGGAAAGGCGGGGGCTGCCCAAGGCTGAACCCATGGGCTGAGACCCTCTCCCCACACCTCCAAGGCTCCCCCGACACCCAGAACTGACATGAGAATCCCTCATGAGAATAAGACCACAGGTATTCCAGACAGCATTCACGAGGGCCTCCAACATACAACCAGGGAAGATGCCAAGACCCACAGAAAGGCAGAGTCTGCACCCCAGAGAGGCACACAGGATGGGGGTACAGTGCTAGGCTCACATCCAGGGGACCTGGGCCACCGGGCCCGAGTTAGACCCTCCCTTACCCTTCCCTCCCTTCCCTGACCCCCAGCGGTAAATATCCTCTGAGGACAGAAGGGTTCCCCAGACAAACACGCAGGGCTTGTAAGGGGAGTGTTTGGCCTTGGAGATCCCGGGCAGTTTAAGATGTGGAATCTGCTTACTCCATACCCAGGGCACCACAGAGGACCAAGTCCCCAGAGGCCAAGATAAGTCCCAGTTATGGTTCTAAAGTGCCCGGTCATGTGACAAGGAAACGGTCCAGAGTTGGCTGCAAAGTCCTTCACAAAGAACCCTCTCCCCCATCTCCCTCCGGAGCCTGGAATCACAACAGTGGGGCAGGGAGGATGTGAAATAATTCCTTTCTAAAGTCAAAGAATGGTTATTACTGTAGCCCCCAAACTGAAATCCTCAAACATTTCAGTGACTGCATATTCCAGGAAGAGCAGGCTCAGTCATCACCAAATCCTCAGCCGACTTGAGCCCAGGGGGTCCAGACCAGGCAGACCAGGCTGGGCAACACAGTGAGATCCCAGACTCTACAAAGAATTTAAAAATTAGCCAGGCATGGTGGCATGCACCTGTAGTCCCAGCTACTTGGGAGGCTTAGTGGGGAGGATCATCTCAGCTTGGGAGTCCGAAGCTGCAGTGAGCCATGATCGTACCACCACACTCCAGCCTGGGCAACAGAGCAAGACCCTCTCTCTCTCTCTCTCAAAAAAAAAGAGAAAACAATAACAGAATCCTCAGCTGAGGCCAAGCCAGATGGCTCTGCATCAAAACAACAGCCTCCTGGACTGGGGGCTGCACCCACCTGTGCCCACCCACCTGTGCACCTGCTGCTCAAACTCATGGGTCCCACAGCCCAGGTGGGAGCATTAACAGCACTTTAACCCAACTGAAGCCAGTTCCAGGGAGAGGAGCCCTAGGAGAGCCCACCCTTCCCAGATGGGAGCTCCGGGGACATGCCAGCCCCAGGCCTCACGGAAACCAGAAGACACCCTGCAACCCCGTCCCGAAAACAGGAGACCGATGTCCCCATAGGGACTGACCCCAGACACAGGGAACCTCCCTTGCAGCAGCCTTGGCTCTCTCAGAAGGGCAAGTCCCTGCCTCAGACCCACTGCACAGGTGAGGAAAATGAGGCCAGAGAGGAGCAAACACAGGTCAAAACCAGTCCACCCAAGATGCTGCACCCGTGGGTCTCTGGGCACACTTCCCTGAATGCAGGGAGAAGGGGCCCAGCCAGACAGCCCTGGCCCAGGACCTCAACAACTCAGGACCCTACAGCAAGCTCACCTGGCTTCCTCCAGCGCAACCCAGGGAAGGCCCTGCTGTGGTGGAATGCCAGTGCCCCCAGGATTCTACCACTGAAATCCCAGCTCTAGGGGATAGCATTAGGAGGCGGGGTGTCTCAGGGAAGCCGTTAAGCGCCCCACCCCCCCGGCCTTTCTTTCTTTTTAAGAGAGAGTCTTACTCTATTGTTCAGGCTAGAATCAGATCACTGCAACCTCAGCCTCCCAGACTCAAGTGATCCTCCCACTTCAGCCTCCAGAGTAGCTGGGACTACAGGCACGTGCCACCACGCCCAGCTAATTTTTGTATTTTTTGTAGAGATGGGGTCTTGCCATGTTACTCAGGCTTGTCTTGAACTCAGCGATCCTCCAGCCTCAGCCTTCCATGGTAGCTGGGACTGCAGGTGTGAGCCACCTTACCTGGCCTGATCAGGTCCTAGGAGTCGAGCCTTCATGAATGGAATTAGTACCCTCATAAAGCAGCCTAGGGAGCGTGTTCACCCCATCCCTCACTCTGAGGGCAGAGCAAGAAGGCATGATCTATGAACCCAGAAAACATGGCCGTAGCAGAGACAGTCTGCCAGCGCCTTGATCTTGGACTTTTAGCCTCCAGAAAGTTGAGAAATCCATTTGTTGCTAATCAGCTCCTAGTGGACAGAATTCTGCTACAGCAGCTTGAACAGAGCCAGGCACCACCGCTAATTAAAGAAAGAGGGGCTCACCCTGGGATTCCGCGGAGGGAAGTCTGGACTCGAGCTCACCCCAAGCACTCTCTCTCCTTCTACTGGGTTGCTTTAGCGGGGCAAATGGGGGACCCCCCCCATAGGTCAGGCACTTCAAGAGGCAATGCAGGCTCTGAATGCCCCCCACCCCTCCTGCCATGCACCACGGTCCCCCACTGAAGAGCCTGCAGAGGACTCCCAGGGTCCAGAGATGCCAGACAACTTCTGGCTAAGCAGCTAGACAGCCTGCAAGGCCCAAAACAGCCCCCCAACTGTGGTCTGGAGCATGAAAAAAGGCCTGACTCATCACCAGAGAGCAGAGTGGAAGTCCCAGCCTTTCCCTGCACCCCCAGGCACTCCTCTCCTCCCTGGGCCTCAGTGTACCTGCCAGAGAGATGGGAGCACAGCTGTGCACCCCCCACCAGCCATGCCAAGAGCACCTTGTGACCTCCCAGGAGGGACCATGGCTGCCTGGTAGAGGTGGCCCTCGGGACTTGGGGGCAGGGCTCACCTTAACGCTGCGGTGGTGGACGCGGGAGGGCTGACACTTGACGCTGCTGGTGTTGCAGCAGCCGGTGCAACGCTTCACCTCCACACACGGGGGCCAGATCAGGAAGTTGGCGGACGTGGGGTCAACCTGGCTTCGAGGAATCTCATAAATGACTGTCCTGGTCTTGCAAACAGCGGGAACAGCTTCCTCTGCAAAGGTGGGGGCAAAGTAAGCAGTGACCCAGCACAGTGTGGCCCAGCATGGGCACCGGCCTCTGTGACCACTGCCCCACCCCATGGCTGCAGCGGCTCCAGCTGGGCCTGGGGGGCAACCAGGGTGAGCCACAGGCCAGGATTCTTCCCAGGCAGCAGAGGCCGAGTTGGGAGCAGAGGTGCAGAGGCTGAGGGGCTGGGTGGGCAGGAGCCCATACATCCAGAGGAGCCCGGCCCTGTATCTGCAGGCTGGAGGAACCTGCCCAGGTGGGGCCAGTGCCCAGGGGGGAGAGGCGGAGAGGGGGACTTAGGCCAGGTGGGACCAATGGCTGAGGGGGCAGAGGGGAACTTAGCAGTGAATCTTGCAGCACTTTCTGGGGTGCTCTGGCCTTCAAGACTTGTCTAAAGGGTGCAAAATGCAGAACCCCCACAGCAAATGTCACCTGGGAGGGCCTGCTTGTTATCAGCTGGGACCAGTCACCCACACATCACACTTTAAGGTGGAGGATACAAAATCCATCTTCCTGGAGGAAACCACAGCTCACAGAGGGGGGTCCACTTGGTCAGGACCACACAGCCATGAACAGTACCAGGGCTCAACCCCAACAGGTGGGACCCCAGAGGACACAGGACTGGGGTGTCAGACCTCACCTTGTCCCAGGCAAGAAATCAGGGACTGGCCCGGAACCTCCCAAACCTGCTAGTTCCTTCTCAGGGGGGTGGAGGGGCATGGGGCTGCTCTGTAAGAAGGGAGAAAATATCCCCCAAATGGATACCTGGGAGGAGTCCCGGAGCCAGCCATGAATGGGGCAGGGCACTCAGGGTGCAGTGAGAGCTCTGGGGGTGGGTGTAGGGGGCAGCCCCTGGGCACACAGGAGCACAGTGCCTACACCGCAAACTGGAAATTAAGCACAGCCACGTTTCCAGCAAGGCTCCTGGGGACAGGCCCCAACAAGATGGGGCACTTAAGGAATTTATGATGGCTCGTCTCCCCTGGAAGTTCTCTTGGCCCAGACTAGGACTCCAGGAGGAACAGGCAGGCTGGAGCAGGAGACATCCCCGAAGGAGGGAGGCCTCCAGAGAGGCCAGAGCCAGAGGCACCAGGGCCAGGCCTATTTTAAGGAGGAGGAAACGGGTGGCTCTCCTGAGGCCGCGAAGTTGGGAGAGGGGGTAGCCCCTCCCCACCCGGCCCTGCCCTGGCCACATTGGCCTCCTGGACTCACCGATACTTCTCTTCCTTCGAATGGGCAGGGGCCGCTTCTCAGGTGCATGCTTGGTGGCGTGGACCCCGTGAGCTCTCAAGCTGGTGTCCAAAGCATCCTCATTCCCTGCAGACAGAAGGAGAGCACCATGACTGCTCCAGGCCTGTGCACTGAGCCCTGGGCCTGTACAGCCGTACGTCACACAGACCAGCTTTCGGAGCCATTGGGGAACAGGGACTGGGCAGTACAGCCCCCCTTCCCCACCATGAGGGGCAGGGGATCCCCTGGGAGAACCTCTGTTCCCACCAGGGCTCTTCAGATATGCAGGATATGAAGCTACAGAAAATGTCCCATTAGCACAGAGGTCCCCAAACGCAGGGACCTGTGACAATGCTGAGGGCACTTTAGGGAAGGGACAGCAAGTGGTCTCCTCTATGGGGCCCCCTCCCATGTAGCCCAGGTGAGGGCTGCACCGGGTCAGGAGAGGCCAAAGGCTGCCCGGCTTACCCCACCTCCCTGAGGGGTGCAGGGCTAAGCCAGGCCCCACCCCTGTCTGGGGGCTGGACCAAGGGAGAAGCAGAGGCAGCTTAGGTTTCTGCAGGTGCCTGAATGTCTCCCTCCCTCCCTGTCACTGAAGCGCTCCTCGAAGAAGTGGCTTAACCTTTAAGGGGCCCTGGAAGCAGCCAGACTGGGCTGTGGGCCAGACCCCACTCCTCCCTGAAATGAGTCTACTCTAGGGCCAGTGGCCATGAGGAAAGGCAGAAGGGCACGTGGCCTCTCATGGAGCCTACACCGAGGAGTCCCCAGGGCCTGACAGAGGGAGGCAGCCTGCAGAAAGGGGTTGAGAGAAGCCTGCATCTGCCAGGCGTGTTTACAGTGAGGCAGCCAGGTGTGGGTGGGGCAGGGGCCCAGAGCCAAGACCAGGACTGACCTGAGAGCAGCACCAAGAACCCTATTCCCCATGCCCACCAGTGCAGACACCTCCCACTCACAGGCGCTGACACCCCCCGCCCCCCGCCCTGCCGCACCATGGTGCACACGCCCCCTGCCCAGTCACAGGCACTGAGGGCTACGACAGACAGGCTGGAGGAGTCTCAGCTCTCTCTGATTCCAGCAGCAGGAAGAGGACCCACAGTCCTGCCCATGGACACTGTGCGAACCTGGGCATCGCGGGTGGCTCTGGGCCTCCTTGCCTTGGTCCCCTGACACAAGGGGTTTCTTCCCATCTCCCTCTATCCTGCCTCCCCAATATATAACCAAGGGCAAACAGGCACTGAGACAGTGAGCCTCACAGCCAGGATGTTCCAGAGGCACAGAGTTCTCCCCAACCCCTCCTAGGAAGCTCAGGACATCCCAGTCACCAGCCCAGACGGTTAATGGGCTCTGCACCTCCTGGGTCCAGGATGAGCAGCCCAAGGACTCTCTCCCCAGCCCACCGAGGCACTGATGACTGTCCAAAAACCAACTGGAGAAATCTCAGCTTCCTCCATGCGCCCAAGATGCCTGAGACCTGCAAACCTCACATAAGGTGTGAATGGCAAAGACGAAGCCTGCCCAGAGCCTTTTTACTGAAAATGACTCAATGTTCCGATGCCACTAATTTTTTTTTGAGACCCAAAATAAAATCAGAACTACTCACGCAATAAGAATTTCCCATCAACCAACTATTACAAGCAGCATTTTTTTTTTTTTTTCATAAAAAAGTGACACTTATGAGTCACATCCTGGTGGTGGCCATCTTGCCATGGCCAAACCAAAGAACGACTGGTCTGCTCTCCAGTCGAAGGAGAAAATTCAGTAATAACACCTCTGTGTTAGCTGCTTTACCAGTGAGTTAGTTTCTATGTGTGCGGTGGCTACTATCACTTCTTTCCATCTGAGGAAACTGAGGCCCAGAGAAATATAACAGGACAAGGAGGAGTGGCTCGCAGGAGCCTCCGTGGTCTGCATCCACAGGGTACAGGCCCCATGCCCCACCAGCCTCTAGCCCTGGCTTAATAAACAGAGAAGACAGCATACCTACTAGTTCACTGACCCCTTGAAAGCCTGAGTTGGCAAATTTCTTGAGACGGGAGACAGAGGAGGTATAGCTCCCACCCCTTTGCCCCGGCTCAAGATGCCAAGAGTGGACCATGCATGCTTTCCAAAGCCGCCCTTCTGAGCTATGCTGGCTGAGACATTGCTCACTCATTGCAGCAGCCACTCACAGCTCACCAAACACGGCCCTGAGCAGCCCAGGCCCATGAGGCCTGGCCAGCAAGAATCACTCCTAAAACTGCTCCCTGAACAGTTAATCAGGAGGCTTTGCCTTTTGTGTTTTAGGCACAAATGTCCCAATGACAACTCCAGGACAGGGAGAATCTTCCAACCATCAGTCTTGACCTGACACTACTGGCCCGAGAGGGGGATATTTATGTTATCAGTCCCTCAATGACCCATGGGCGCCAGGCCAGACTGCTTAGGGAAACAAAGCTCCCCAGCTGCCCCTGCACACAGGACAAACAAGCCCTAAATGCTGGCTGCCTATCATTAAAAGACCACATGCTGGCTTCTGATCTACAAGCCACAGGAGAAAAACCTTCAGTCTTCACTCCAGTACACCCTCTGAATAAAATGCTCCGCCTCCAGCAGGATGGTGAGGAATCCCAGGGCCCCTGCTCCTCCAGCCACAGCCAAGGAGCCGCCCAGACCCCAGCCAGTGCCTTGCTCAGTGCCCCCAACTGTACAATGGCACACAGCCTGCAAGCTGGCAGGAGCCAAGTGCCAGTCACAAAGCCCCACCCACTTGGGAGAGGAGTCAGCATAGCTGGGGAGCACACCTAGGATTCCTGAAAGCCTCTTTTCTGTTTCCTACAGCACAGGCCTCAGAGGCACCCAAAGCCAAGAATGTCAGCCTAGAAGGGTCCTACGGGAATTCTAAGGAAAAGTTTGTCACATTGGGTTTCTCCCAGCACCCAGCCCCTTCCTCATGAGCCCTGCACTGTCCCCTGACTGTAATAGACCAGAAGCACCTCTAGATCTAAAAGGGAGGCCAGGAACCGGAGGAACGCTTACTCCACGAGAACTGACCACAAACAGTTTACAGCCCTCCCTGTAAGAGAGCAGGAGGTGAGGAAAAGACACCCCCTACAAGCTGGAGAAGCAGCTGGGCCTCTCTGTTCCTCAGTCCAGAGATTGTGGGTTCCTCTGGTTCCATTTCCCGCCAGACCTGGGGAGAGGACTGGACAAGGATGAAGGTGACCCCCCTGAGTCACAAAAGATTTCCCACCAGGGGCAAGGCTGGGGGCAAGAGAGGAGGCAGATGCCGCCTCCATGTTCAGCCTCCCAGACACAAGAAGAATCCCATTCAGACCCCAAAACATCTCACGGAGACCGGAGGGCTGATGAGATCTGCTCTCTTCATTCCCTGGGGCAGGAGGAAAGAGTTCCTGGGACGTGGCTGCAGGGGGGATTTGAAACCGGCTGGGAGGACTAGTTTAGGGCATCCTAGTTGTTTTCAGTTTGGACCCCACGACCTAGAAGCCCCCCCACCCCGGTCAGGAATGCCATCAGCATAACCCCACGGAGCCGCAAAGCTAAAGGCGATAATGGGTAGGGGTGGAGGAGGCGGGGCTGCCAAGCCCAGAATAAGAATAGTCCCAGCAGAAAGTGAATGGCCCATTTCCCTGCGGCTTCCAAAGACAGTCCCAGGAGAAGGTTCATCTGCGAGCACCACCCCCCCCCCCAAAAAATAGCCCTGAACCTTCTCAGGAAAGCAGTCTCCCCACTTTTCCAAACGCATCCAAGACCAGCGAGATTCAGGCAAGTGTTTCCCCCCCCACATAAACCAGAGCCAAATCCTTCTCCCCAGAGTTATCCATGGAGGGACCCGATCAAAATCCCCCCGCCCAACTGTGCTCTGGAGTGAAACACTACCGCCCCGATAAGGATCAGCCCAGGGATTTCCTGGGTCAAGAAACTACAGAAACCATCGGCCTTGTTAGAAAATGGTTTTGGCATGAAACGAAAATAGTTCAGGCCTCTCCACCACCATAATTAGGTACAAATTTCCAAATGACTAGACCATGTGATTTCACTTAATCCCCCCACACCCTCCCCTTTTCCAGAGTCCTCTGCAGGGAGAGAAAAGTCTTCATTTCATGTAACTTCTTCCAGTTCTGCTGCCTTTAGCTACTCTTTTTAACAAGTTTATCGCAGGCCCATTTTGAAATCAGCTAACGAGTTCTGCCACACGAGGATTTCCCTGGTTAAAGCTCAGATTGCAGTTCCCCAGCCAAGTGTGCATTTTGAAAAGGGCGCCACAAGGACCTGGAAGAAAGACCTCGCCTTCTGGGAAGGGGCTACCTAGCCCCGAGGGGGCGGGCGGCCACCCTACACCCCCGCCCCTCCCACCCAACGTGGTCCACCGGGGTCCCCCGGGTGTGAGAAGCCCCTTTAACCCTTGCCAACCCGGGTCGAGTCCAGCTCTGCAGCTGACATTCGCCCCAAAACTCTGTCCTTGCAAATAAACTGTTTTCTTTAGTGGCTCGGCCTCAGGGCCTGAGGGTGAGACGCAAAAATAGCCCCCAGGCAGCAGATGCGTCCAAGTCCCGGCTTTTTATTAGGTAGTGAACATAGAAAGACACCGGCCTCCCGAAGCCACAAAGGCCTAGCCCTGCGGCAAGAACGCCGCACCAGCTCCCAGGGATTACAAAGGGGCCGGGCCCTGATCGGGGGCGGACTCCGCCCGCCCCTGGGTCAGGTAGCCGCGCCTGCCCCTGGGGCCTCGCTCCGCGGGCTGCCCGCCTGGCGCACTAGCCAGGGCTCCGCGCCCAGGGCCTGGGCGGGCTACCGACGCTCCTCCGGCCCCAGGGCAGGCACGGGGCCGGCACACCTGGCGAGGGCGCCGAGGCTGAACTTTTTGTGACACACGCGGCGTTTTCCTTCAAGGCGAAAACAATCCCTGGGCGAGCGAGCAGCCCTCGACCGCGACTGGGAGAGAAAGTGGCGATTGAAAGAGAAACTCCTGACTCATCCGCCTGGGCGCTTAGGGCCGGGGATTGGATTCTGACCTTTCGGTGCGCTGTGCGGCGCCCCTTCCGGCCCCAGCTCGGGGCGCACGGGACGCACAGGCCGCCCGCCCCGCACCTCCCCGCGCCGAGGGAAGGGGCGCGATTTACCTACGGAGTCTATCTCCAGGAGTCGCTGGAGGTCCCGGATGCTGTGGATCTGACTGTGCGCCAGCCTCTCGATCACCTCGCGGGGATCTCGGCTTCCTGCAAGCAGAGACCACAGGGTCAGCGCCCGCGGCCCAGGGCCCGAAGAGACCCCGCGAGCGCCGGCCGCAGCCCTGGCCCCAGACCCCAGGGAGCCCTCGCCCCGGCCCTGGAACCAGAAGCCGGGGGTGGGGCTGGAAGAAGACCACGAATTCTCCACCCCTGTCCATGGTCTGCCCTTGGCAAAATCAAAGTCCCCCCCGCTTTACATTTTCAAACAAAAGCCCCGCACTCCGGCCCCTCCGCCCGGGGTGTCAGTTACAGAAGATCTGAGGGCAGCTAGGCGGCCGGGAGTTTCTGATTTAAGAGTGAGATCAACATCTAGAAAGATCAAGTTAAAATGCGTCACGGATCAGCGAGAGTCACGGCAGCCCTCACACTTTAATCCAGGCAGGGCTTAAATTTCACGCCCGGAATCCCGGGCCGAAGCCGCGGAGAGGTCTCTCCGTCTCACAGACACACGCGCGCGCGCAGACACACGCGCGCACACACATTCACTCACACACTCGCCCCACCCCGGGCTCCGGCCCAGCCGCGGCCCTAGCGCCGACTGAGATGCCTAAATCCAGCCTGCGGGCGGCTGGGAGAAGCCTTCAGGGAGAGCGAGGGTTAAACTTCCACCTCGCCCAGCTCCGGGCCCCGCCGAGACCACCCTCACCTTTGGCCTCACCCAATTCCCTTCTTGATTTTTAAGGAGAGTCGGGGGTCGCTGGGGAGCCTGAAGCACTAAGTTCCCACGCCGGGGGCTGTGGAAAGTCATTCATCACAGCAAAGCTCCCGGGGATGGGGATGGGGATGGGGGGGCGGGGACGCCGCGGTGGGAGGGTGCGGGCGCCAGGTCCGGCCCCAGCTCTCCTCGCTCAGCCACCTGTAAGCAGGCCCGGGCGGGCGGGACTGCGTCGCCCCTGAGCCCCGCCGGGCTCGGGCACCCGGACCCGGGGGCTGCGGCTCGGCGCTGCCCACCTTTACCGGCCAGGGGCTTCCGCAGCAGCCGCCCCTACCTGTTTATCGGGCGCCCTTCCCTCCTCCCCAGGCACCGCCGGCTCACACACACAGACACACACACCCCCCTTCCCCGCTCCCCACACCCCGCTGCCGCAGCGCCCGCAGAGCCCCAGCTCCCCTTCTCCGGAGAGGCCCCAGCGCCCCCCGAAGTTTCTCCCCACTCGTCCACCTCGCTGATCCCCGGTTCCCCCCGAGGCAGAGCGACGCAACACGCTGGAAACTCCCCACACACTTAGGTATGGCAGAAAATAGAACCCAGTTGGGAAAATTTAAACACGGACCACCCTAGCAGAAACCGAAATGCTCTCTGCAGAGCCCGTGTCGTCCCAGCCGGCGGGCGGGCGGGCTCCGGGGGTGTGCGCCGGGGAGCCGGCGCAGAGACTGGGCGCGGGGGCGGCACCCACCTCGGCCAGAGCATGGGCGAGGTATCCGCAGCCGAGGAGCAGCAGGCAAGCCCAGGTCCTCATCGCGTCCCGAGGCGCTGGCGGCTCGGCGGGGAGGCGAGGCCGCGGGGCGGGCGCTCCAGCCGGGCTCCTGTGGCGGCGAAATTCAGTACCATCCCTTAGGGAGCGCGGCCCGGAGGAGGGTGGCGCGGGGAGCACGGAGCTGGCAGAGCGCGCCCGGCGCGAGCAGTGAGTGCGGAGAGGCAGGCAGCGCCAGCCAGGAGGAGGAGGAGGAACGGAGTGCGCGCCCGCCGCGCGGGGAGCCTCCTGGGCCGCCGGGTAGGGGGTGGGGACGGAAGGGGCGGAGGACGGGGGCTGGGCTTCTTCCTTGGTGCGTTCCCGGTGCTGGCCGCCGCCGCGCTCGCTCCCCGGCGCTGGCTTCAGGAGCGACCCGGCCGGTAATTCTGAATATTTGCGGGCATCGGTCCCCGAGAAGAACTCCGGAGGGAGGCTGGGGCCGCCGCCGCGCCACCGATCACCTGTCTGGACGCCCGGCCCTGGCTACGGGCTCGCGCTCTCCCTGAGGGCTGCCAGCGGCCCTGCGCGTCCACCGCCGACCCCGCGCTCGCCTCCGGCCTCCTCTCGCAACCGCCGCCCGGCCGGGCACAACGCGGCCCAGCACGGCGCGGTCGGGCGGCCTGCGTGCGCCCCTCCGCGGCGCGCCCTCGGCTCCGCCGCCGCGCTCCGCCCTCCGCCCGCCGGGGCCGGGCAGCGCCCGCGGCCGAGCTGCCTGGCAGCCGCCACCGGTCCGGGGCCTCGCTGCGCCGCCCGCGCGGGCCTGAGGGCGGGCGCAGGGCCCAGCCGGCGCCTCCGCCGCTGCAGCGGCCGGGAGAGGAGGAGGAGGAGGAGGAGGCGCAGGCAGGCCCGGCTCGCCGGAGTTGGGCGGGCTCCGCAAGGCGCGCGTGTGGAGCCGGCCGGCGGCGGAGAGAGGGTTATAGCTCCGCCGCCGCGCCCCTCCCCCGCCCCCGCCCCCCCCCCGCCTCCCCCGGATTCCGGGCCCCGGACCCGCACCTCGGAAGCACGCGGGGTTCGTGCGGACCCGGCAGGGCTTGGGCGCCGCCGCCGCGGCAGGGCGTACACACGCGCTAGCGCAGGCAGCTAAATCCATCAAAGCCCCGCGCCCAGCTCCGCGCCGGGGCTCCGCGCCCCTCCCTCAATCTTGCCCACCCTCCAGTGCCAGCTGCAATCCTGCGGCACCGGGTGGGGAGGGAGGAGGCCGCCGCAGAAGCGCCGCCGTCGCCGGCTCGCCTCTCTCGGGCCCCAGCGGCGGCAGCCGGCAGCGCCCAGAGCTGCTGCGCCAAAAAGGGCGAGAGAGCCGGCCCCCGCCCCCGCCCCGGCGCTCCGGCCGCTCTCCACGGTTGGGATCCAGGGCCCCAGCCTTCCCCTCTCCATAAAAGGAGGGGGAGTCAGCCGTTGGGGAAGGCGGGGGACGGGTTTGGGACACTCACCTGGCGGCCGCCACGCGCCCCCGCCCAGGATCCGAAGCCCGGGGCTTCTGAATGAGGACCCTCCACCCACATTTCCACTTGGGAACGAGCCCAGGTCGGGGGAAGGGGCTGCAGCCCGTCTCATCCCCACCCTGGGACCCCGCGCCCCCCAGACCCCTATTCCCGCGCCAAAGGCAGGGCCACGCTCTGAGCTGTGAAGTCGAGGGGTTGGAAGAAAAAGGAGGCACCGGTGAGGGTCCCCGGGTTCTGAGCCTCCGGCGTCGGGATCCGCGGGACTCGCAGAGCGCCACCTCCGGCCGAGGCGCAGCTCAGAGCGCTATGCGTGGGAGGAACGCGCGCCGAGGCCGAGGTCTGAGCGTGGCTAGACGGCTGCACGCCGAAAAAGGGCGAGTGCGCCAGGGCGGGATGATTTCGCCTCCCTAGACCAGGTGGGATTGGACCCGAACTCCGGGTCTAGATGCCCGTCAGTGCCCTGCCGGAGGGTCTACGCGCCCTGGTACCGGGTTCAGCGCGGAGGTGGGGGGGGGGGGAAGCGCGCAGTGCAGACCCTCAAGCGAGACGGTCTAGGCCTCTGGAGACTAGGAGACGCTCCCGTGGGTGGGCAGCCGAGGAGAATTACGCCCGCCCCAGCCGTCACCCCCAATTCCGTGGATTAAGCCCCCGCCCCCGCCGCGGCCGCCCTTCCTCTAGACAAAGGCGGTTAAGGCGCAGGCCCGCGGGCGGTCTTTCATCCCCAGCTCCGCCGATTCTAGCATTTCAAAGGCCGAGTCCGGAGGGCGCTTCGGGGGCTCTCGCCTTCCCCCAGATATGTGGCAGGCGGGGCCTCTCTCACTGCTCCCAGTGAGTCGCGTCTACTTACGCCCTGCCACACACCTGCAGGCCCCCTCCCAGGTTTCTCCCTCCCCTGGCCGCAGCCCCGGCCCGAGACCCCCTCTGGGTAGTCAGGACCACGCGGGAGCCGGACACGTTGAGAAGCACCTGAAAGCCAAGTCTCGTCCCTCCAGGGGGAACTTGTGCGGCTCGGGAGGGGACGCCCACTGGATGGCTTCTGGGAGGAGCCAGACCCGGCCTCATTCCTCGGTCAGTTATTCCGGAGTCGCACGCACCCTGTCCTGCTAGGTCTCGGACCCCTTGTGGGCAGAGGGGGGCCGAAAACACCTTTTTGGGGTAGAAGACTTAGGTGACGGTGTGGAAAGCAAGGAGGAAGGTCGCGTTGTATTGGGGATGGAGGACCCGTCCCAGCTGGCTGGGTCCTGGTGTTTCTCGCCGCCTCTTGGGGGTCTAGATGGGTGCTTCCCTCGGCTCCCCAGCCCGTCCTGGAGCTACGGGTGTGCATAGCTCGAGTTTAGGGCCACCTGAGGACGTGGAAGCGGCGCTGGAGCGAGGCGGGGGCTGGGGTGGGGCGTGGGTGCATCACCCGCGGGACGCAGAGCTTAGGCGAAAGCGGTGCAGGCATCTCTCTAATCGCCGGCCGCTATTAAAAATAAAACCGCGACCCGTCGCCATGGTGACCACAACAACAGCGGCCGTGCGAGGGAGGGGAAAACTTATGCAGCCGCGCGACAGCCGCCTTCGGGGGAGACTTGGGGCACTGCGTGCCCCAGAGCCCGCAGCCCACACGGCATGGGACAGGGATCCCCTATCAGTCCCGCCCCGTTCTCCTCCGGGTCCCCAGAAAAAAACAAGGAGACATGGACCCCCACAGGCTTTTTTCGGGGGCTGGGCGCTGAAATCGCAGGACTGACTTAACCAAGAGGTCACTGGCTTGGATGAAACCCGCGCCCACGTGGAACCCCCTCCCCGGCCTTCGTTTCCATTCACACTCCCAGCGTCCTCATTTCAGCCCCGGGAGAGGGAGGCGGAGGGAGGAGGTGGGTTTCGGGTGCCCGGCCCAGGAGCGGACGGTGCGACCCGAGCCCGACCGGCGGGTTTTGTGCGCCGAGGCTGCAGCACCTGCCCCGCCCGCCCTGAGCGCTCCTTGCAGATGGGGGCGGTCACATGCTTCTTTCTGGCTGGGAATCGAGTTTCGCTTCCAGCCGCTATTAGTCGGTTCACACAGTTCACTGCAAACATTTGATAATGAGGCTAAATATACTCCTGCGTCGGAGGAGGCGTGGGCGGCCGCGGCCTGGGCGCGTGGGTACTGCGCTCTGGGCTCCGCGGAGCGTCCCCGCCCAGGCCCGGGAGACAGAGGCGCCGACCCGGGGTAGCTGGCTTTTTGCGGGAAGGAGACGCGCCCCGAGCGCCTCCCCAGAAACACTCCCACCCCGGGCTGCGGCGCGCGTCTAGGAGTCCGTGGGCGCCCCAAGGTGTGCCCGGGGCCCCTGGTGGAAGTGGCGGCGCTGCGGGGAGGGGGTGCGGGGAGCTGCTGGTGGGAGGCGCGGTGCACCTGGCGGCCTGGGATGTCCGGTCGCCCCCGGAGCCGGTGCTTCCTGCCTTTCCCGGCGCGCCCCGACGTGCCCGCGGGTCCATAATTACCGTGAGTCAGGTGACCCAAATAGGCCGAGCGAGGGGGCCTGTCGCGCAGCCGGGGCGGGTGGCCGGACGTGTGCCCGTGACTGGTTCCCTTCCGCCCTCCCCGGGACCGACCCTGGCACCCAGGAAGGGCGGGAAGAGCCTTGGCCATTTCTCAGGATAGGGGGCTGCAGAGGTAATAGGCTGTCGCCGAGCCCAACCCTTCTCCCTCGTACGCACTGAGGCTGCGCGTCCGGGGCCGTCCCGGCTTGGACGCAGAGCTATTCCTGTCGTAATTTAGTAGTAGTAGTAATGGCTGACATTTACTGCGACTTCAATTGCACCAAGTGCTAAGCTATTTCCTTGTATAATTTCATGGACACTCACATATCAACGCTAAGCGCATACTTGCTGCCTCTCATATTACCGAGTCCCGAGCAGCAGGGCTCGGCACCCCAGGGCACCTCTGCAACCTCGATGAATAGATAGGATCCTCAATTCTCAGGGGCATTTATAACCGGAGTGGACAGGCAGGAACAGGAATGACGCTGTGGACACTCGGGAACCACGTAGCAGCCAACACCGCCCCCCATCCCAGTTCCCTCTGCTCTCTGTCCCTTGACATTGGCCTTGATGAGATCTGTCCCTAGACTGCCCTGGGTGTCCGTTCCCTCCTCTGAAACATGGGAAGCCGACAGCATCACCACGCACAGCTGTGTCCTCTGTCAGGAAACCTTCCTTCCACTCACCCGCCCAGGAAAAGCTGCACTGGGATGCCCTGGGTTAGGACACTCCTGGCCACCTGTGTGCCCCTGGGGTGGGGGTGGGAGGGCCAGCTGGGCGCCCGAATCCAGGCCTCTGTCCCCCGTGCCAGAGCAGATTTCAGAACAATTTGTAATGACGAAACCCCACATTCCCCTTTATCTCTGGGCAAGGCTTTCTTCCTTCTAGGCAATTAATCCAAAAGCAACCCAGCCGTGGGCTGGACTCCTTGAAGATCAAAACTGTCCAGCGCGGGCGTTAATTAAGTCATTATCTCAGGCCCCCAGTGACTAGGGATCAGGCCTTTCCAGTTCACACTCCCCAGAAAGGGAGATAACCCACCCCACCCTCCCGCCAGTAGGGTGAGAAGGCTCTCTCTCGGTGTCGTTTTAACTCCCTATTAAATCATTTTATTTTCTTTTAAATATACAATAGAACTGATGTTGAAAATAGCACATGAGCCCACAATCATTTTTTTAACATTCTGTGAATGAAGACATGTATGAAAGGACACTTCGTGGCTTCAAGAAATGAAAGCGCAAAGTCTAGCTAAACCAGGGCCATTCTGTCCAGGAGGGACGGCCACGAGTGGCCGCTGGGCACGTGAGACATGGCAGGTCCAAACTGCACAGTGGCAGTGTAGTAAGTTCAGGACACATGCCAGCTTTAGAAGGCTGAGTAAAGCATGCAAAATTTCTCATTGGGAATGATTGTATGAATTGCAGGTTGAAATAGCATTTTGGATATAAGGAGTTAAATAAACATGATTACAATTAATTTCAATATTGGCCTCCCAGAGGCTCCTCTTGCTCCTGTGGGCCACAGCCAGCTCAGAGGCTTGCTCTAGGAAATACCGACACGTTCTTTCAACACACGTCTATGTGCCAGGCACTGTGCTAAGTGCTGAGGACACAGCACTGAGACCAGGCCCTCAGGGAGCTCTCAGTCTCTCTGGGGAAACCCATAAGTGAGAGACAGACATACAGGTAAAAGATTTCAGGCCGAGGTCAGGGAGACCTCATCTGAGGTGTCTGAGAAGAAGACACTGAGAACATCTAGAACATCTAAGTCAGGCATTCCAGGCAAACGTGACAAAGCAGGTGCCAAGGCCCCAGGGTGGAAACAGCTTGGCTTGTTCACGGACCAAGTAAGCAGATCGCTTGGCCTCTGGATGAAAGAAGAGCTCTGGGTTTTATTCTAGGAGCAAGGGAAACCATTGGAGGGCCTCAGGTAGGAACACGAGGTGTAGTGGCATAAAGGAAGAAGGGGCCAGGCACGATGGCCCCCCCTGTAATCCCAGCACTTTGGGAAGGAGGCCAAGGCAGGAGAAACGCTTCAGCCAAGGAGTTTGAGACCTGCTTGGGCAACATAGCAAGACCCCGTCTCTACTAAAACGATACAAATCAGCCATGGTGGCATGAGTGTCAGGTCTCAGGTCTGAGGAGACTAAGGCAGGAGGATCGCTTAAGCCCAGAGTTTGAGGCTGCAGTAAACTATGGCACCACTGCACTCCAGCCTGGGTGACAGAGGGACCCTGTCTCTAAAAGCTAAATAAATAAAGGAACAACAATCATGTTATTCTGTATTTCTCACATCCGGAATTCAAGATGGGCTCAGCCAGCAGGTTCTGGCTCAGGATTTGTCCTGCAGTCAGGATTGGTGGCTGGAGCTGTCATGGGGAGCGGTGTGGTTGGGGCTGGCCAGCATCCCCCACGTTCAGGTGGGCTCAGGGCTCTGTCCCATGGCCTACTGGGGAAGCTTGAGCTTCCACACAGCATGGGAATCAGGCTCCAAGGACAGGTTGCCTCTGGGACAGCAGAGGGCTTCACGTGCGTGCTCCTGCACCATAGGGGAGGCAATACGCTCTCCTGATTCAGCAGTATAAGTCTGCAGCACCATGACTCTGTACGCTCTCAGCCTAATCTGGCCCCGGCCTTCCTGGACACTGGAGGAGGGGACAGAAACTCCATCCCAGACAGAGGGAGTGCCAGGGTGTGCACAGGCAGGTTCTAACACTGCTTCGTGGTTTCACAGCGATCCCTCATAGAGAAGGGGCTGGAGGAGGACAGGGAGGTGTGCAGTTGTCGATGAGAAATGAGGGTGGCGGGCTTCCAGAAGGCGGCAGCGGAGACTGTAAGGAGAGTATATGAGGTAGACTTCTGAAAGGCCCAGAAGGTTCCTGGCAGCTGCAGATGCTGGATTCTTATCACTTGCCAATTGCTGGGGTGTAAACACTCCCACCATCACTATTTTAGGCTATGCTCCTGGCCTC